GTGCTTGGGCCCTGCACCTGCATGGGAGACCAGGAGGAAGCACCTGGTTCCTGGCTTTGGATCGGCGCAGCGCCAGCCATAGCGGCCATTTGGGGAGTGAGCCAGCAGAAGGAAGACCTTTCTCTCTGTCTCTCTCTCTCACTGTTTATAACTCTACCTGTCAAATAAAAAAATTAAAAAGAAAAAAAAAGACAGTCAAGGAAAGAAACAGAACATGGTATCCACGTTCAACCACAGAGCAAGTGCACTGCTGTGGCTACACGTGTACGCCAAGTCCATGGACAAAGGAGCCGGTACAGCCATTTTTCAGAAGTCATGTGCTCATCAGGTGTCAAGGGACGGGCAGTGTGGATCAATACAGACGGTCACACAGGGAGGTGAGAGCCACCCTGGAACGCCTGCTTTCCCAATTTCTCTGAGAGCGGCCACTTAGCTACCCTATGTCGTTATTTATTCCCCAGTCCTATCTGGAGCATTTAGTACCCATTTCTCAGATGAGCAAACTGGCCTTTGGGGGGTTTGTTAGCAACAGGCACGTAAGGAGCTGTGTAGCTGCACTGAGCGCTCGCTACTTCCAGGCCGTGGCTTTATAAGCCGGGCCGTCTTCATTCCCCATAAAGAGCCCTCCTGAGGGGTCTACTGTCACTTCCTCTTGATCCCTCACGGGCTGGGAAAGACTAAGTCCCCTCCAGCGCCCCACCCAGGAGGCACAGACCAGGAGTCAGTGCACCAGTGTGTTAGCAGAGTGTGGGAGAAACTGTGCAGCTCTGCACAAGGGCCCCCGGTAGGGAGCTCCCAGCAGGGACAGAGATGGAGCCACTCCCTCCCGGCCCAGCCACCACTGCCCCCCGACTTTGTGAAAGTCAATCTGATTTCCGACTGTTGCCCCTAGCTCAGTCATGGTGTGCAGAGCAGTGTAAACATTTATTAGCCTGTAAAATGTCTCATGTTTTTCAGGCACAAAGGTAGTGAAAAAAATAGTAAGACCTTCCTACTGCCTTTCTTGACTGCAACTGTGTTTACTGGGTGAGGGCTTGGAGGAAAAGGCCTGGCTAAGAAGACAGGATCAGGCCAGGGCAGCCTTCCCATGGCCTCATTATCTGGTACTCTAAAGTCCTCGGCTCCCCCTCACCCACGAGGTCTCCTCTCGCTCCCCCTCACCCACGATGATTGGTAAGTTTATTTGCCAGGCAAAGGAACTTGGGTTTCTCCACATGTGACATGGGGTGGGCTGGATAATAAGCCAGCTTCAGTTGTTCTTGTGAACCAGGGTTGACGAAGCTTTTTAAACTCTTCTTCCTTCCCACTGAGAGAAACGAGGGTAATTGTGTGACATGTTTCTAGATGCAAGAAGTTCAGTATTGTCACTTGGCAGAAAAGCCTTTAGAATCATAGCTGACTGCTACGATTTTCTGTGATAATGGAACGCTCCGGTTCTGGGGCCGCTGAGTACTGGAAAGAAGACTAATAACTTAGGATCTGAACTTTAAATGGCGTTTAATTTAAACATTTAGGCTGCCTTGAGTTGAGATGGCTGCCTGTGGCTGGTGGCTACGGTATCTGCACAGGCCTAGGATGCACTGGACTTGTGTGGTGCTGGGGGAGATGTCTTCAGTGTCATCGTTATCTTACGAGGCCACCATCTCTCCCACCAAATGGGCCCAGAGCCACTGCTAACAGCTGGCGTAGCCTACCTGGGGGTAGCTGCCTTTTCTGTCATAGATGAGATTCCCAGAGCATTAAGGGACTCAGTCCCCTTCAGCCCCTTCTGACTCCTGATAAAAACCTCACCAGAAAACACACTCGACAGCCGAGCAACAAGTCGGCTGCATCCCCAGCACTGGCAGTGGTGGTGGGCACTGAGTCATCCGTGTTAGGAATGGGGCATTAGAAGGAAAAGCAAACGATGAAGAAGGTAAACAGGAAAGGATGTGTCTTCTTCCTGCCCCTTTCCAGCCTCCCAAAGATGTGCTCGCGGGGCTGGGACTCAGAGGGGAAGCAGCTCCAAGGTAAATTCCAAGAAACAAAATCTCCCATAAAAATCTGGCAGGTGTATGACGTCACATGCTGGATTCTGGACCGTAACACAGAACTGGCAGAATTCCACACCTGAGCTCTTGCACCCTCTTCATTAATCCATTTTTTTTCTCTGTCACTTTGTATTTGTAGATATGCTCATCCTTTGCTATCCACGAGGATTGGTTCCAGGACCCCTGTCAGGCACCAAAATCCATAGTGTTCCAGTCTTATAGAAAACTGCCTAGTATTTGCATGAAGCCACACATTCGTATGCTTTAAAGAATTGCTAGATTACAGTTAATACCTAATACAATGTAAATCCTATGTAAGTAGCCATTATAGCGTATGGCTTGGAGAATAATACCCAGTTAGTTTTAGAATGTTTTGATCCATGGTTGGGTGAACCCGTGGATGTGAAAACCTCAGATGCAGAGGGTTGACTACGTCTTTTAAATCTCCTATAGCTCTTGATGGATCTTTCTTTGGTCATCAACTCTTGTTTTCCCTCCTCTGCTCCTAGGAGGCAGCTCAAGCTCCATTTTGAGCCCAACTTTCTCCTCGCTACTTTGTCTCCTAGTTGGCCGCTGCTTACTCCAGTGTACACGCTGGCTTGGGGCTCCTCTGTACACACCCGTGGTTCTCACTCTCACTGGTGCTGCCTTCGGTTCTGAGGCTTTCCTGGTCTTAGTCCCCATCCTCCGCCTCTCCCGGCAAAGCGTTCCCAATGCAGGAATGTGGCTCCTTCCACCTCCCCAGGGAGCGCACTGTGATTTGTTTAGAATGTAGGCTGTTTCCGGTTTGTGTGGTTCACCGGGAGAACACCCCGTTTTCTGGAGGACCCTGTTCTCACTTCCTGTGTGCAGGCTGACGTCCTCCTGGAAGATTCCGCCCTGGTTGGTCACCCTGTTCCAGCTTGCCATGTCCACATCACCAGGGCTGCACATACACACTGGACTCTCCCCCCAACCTCGTGGATTTCTACTGTCCCTTCAGCTAAGTGTTATGCTAGGAGAGCAGCCTTTTGACTCCAAGTTCTACAGATCCACTTCTCCTTCTTTTTTTATTTATTTATTTTTTAATTTTTTTTTGACAGGCAGAGTGGACAGTGAGAGAGAGAGACAGAGAAAGGTCTTCCTTTGCCGTTGGTTCACCCTTCAATGGCTGCCGCGGCTGGTGCGCTGCGGCCAGCGCATCTCGCCAATCCAATGGCAGGAGCCAGGTACTTCTCCTGGTCTCCCATGGGGTGCAGGGCCCAAGCACTTGGGCCATCCTCCACTGCCTTCCCGGGCCACAGCAGAGAGCTGGCCTGGAAGAGGGGTAACTGGGACAGAATCCGGCGCCCCGACCGGGACTAGAACCGGGTGTGCCGGCGCCGCTAGGTGGAGGATTAGCCTAGTGAGCCGCAGCACCGGCCCACTTCTTCTTACAGCCAGAGGTGAGAGCCTTGCAAAGGTGACCCAGGTCCTGCTGCTCTCGGCCTCTGCCCCGTGATCTGTCCACCGGGTTCTCAGTCGTCCTTTCCCACGGTTGGGATGGTTGTTCTGATGTGCTTTTGTGGTTCGGTTCAGTCGTTACAGAAGGAACTGTGTTAGATTCAGGTCCTACTTTCTAATGAGGACTACACTGCCATTTCATATAGAATTCCAACCCCAAGCCTGCACTGTAACCCTGGCCCTATTTATTTCTGTCTCAAGCAATGATCTTCCAAAATACTCTATGTATTTACTTTTTTATCATCTCTTATCACCGGAAAGTGAATTCCATAATGGAAGAAGATACATAGGAGGCTGCTTCAAAAACTGTGTGGAAATGTGGAAATAAAAGATACTGCTTTTGGTGCGGGCGTGTTTATCTCGGCACATATCCGTGGCTGGATGCTGCAGCTCCGGTGTGGTTTGGGCACCCCCACTGGCTCATGTGTTGGCAGTTTGGTGTCTAGGGTGGCAGTACTGGGAGGTGGTGGGAGGCTTAGAGCTGGAGCCACTGTGACATCCTCACGTCAACAAGAGAGCGCTCTTAAAAAAGAGTATTTCCTGTGGTACCCTGCTTGGGTCACTAGCAAATGTTATTCTGAAATTCTGCACTGGCCCCACCCCGCTCTCTGCTTTCCTGTATTCAGACAGGAGCCCTTACTCCCTCACAGGCCACCTCCACTGCCTCCCCTCCACCCTCTGACACGGCCACCTCCACTGCC